AGCGGCGCCCGGTGCGGAGCCCAGAGACTCGGCCGCCCGCACGCCCCGCGACGGAACCCGGCTCCTCTTGCGCCTCCGGCCGCGAGACTCTCGCCTGGGACGCAGCGCAAGCAGGGAGCGCGGCGGCCCGAGTCTCCCTGAGCCATGGGCAACGAGGCGAGCTTGGAAGGGGAAGGACTCCCCGAAGGGCTGGCGGCCGCGGCGGAGGCAGCGGCCGGAGGAGGGGCTGGCGGGGCGGGGAGCCCCTTGCCCACCGTGATCCCGGCCGGCATGGAGGCGGATTTGAGCCAGCTGAGCGAAGAGGAGAGGAGGCAGATCGCCGCTGTCATGTCAAGGGCGCAGGGGCTGCCCAAGGGAAGCGTCCCCCCGGCCGCTGCGGAGTCGCCTTCCATGCACAGGCACGCACAGCATGATGTATATGTCCGGGCATATATGTACAGCTTCCCGAGCACATATGTGCCAGCCCGTATGTGCCAGCACAGCGGTACATATATGTCGCCTCCGTTCGTTTTATTCTCCCTAGTGGGGTGGGCATAAAAAGATCACAAGCCTCTTGATGGGCGGAATAAAAATGATGCATGATAGAGTTTCTGGTGGGATAGTCAAAGGTTACATTCTTGGAACTGTGATTTTGGGTTGTGATTTTTTTTGGCCTTTCGGAACCTTTTCCTTCTAGGATACGGTGTGGAGAAACGCCCTCCAGTGTTTTACTAATCTGGAAGTCTTCCATTAATACAACACGAGCGTGTTGGGAAATGGATAGAACTGGGTGTTTACCTGTCTCTGTTTGAACCTTCTCCTCGGGGATTTCAGGGTCTTTTTCTCTGTGATTGCTGTCTCAATATTTCTGTAAGAATACCTTTAATCCCGCTGGAGGTGATTTGTCCCACCCCCAGAAGAGAACAGAAACTGTTTAGGTAGAAGGAATACAATGAATATACCTTTTATATTCAGCGAGGAACCCTAAAATATGTTGTGGCATTAAACAGATGGTTTGGTCACAGCAGAACAGGTGCTGTACATGTATTTCTGAATTAGCATATGCTATTTTTTAAACCACTGCTCTCTTTTATGCAAAAGTGACTTTCAGTTTATAGAAGGACATGTGATTTTTGTATTATATTAAAATTAATTTTCAGTACATATCTTTAAAAACAAAACAAATGGCAACTTGCACAGGCAATTATAAAAGCTAATCTGTAATAACGTATTCATTTCCGTCTCTAACTCTCCATTTTTCTTCACCCCAATAAAGTAGTTTTTTAAAAAAATTAGAGTAATAAGACTATAATCGTTGTGCTTGCCCTACCTTTATTGTTGTAAACAAATCTTTCAACTTTGAACCCTCAAGGAGAGAATAGTTTACTGTCCGTGGTCCTGAAACCATCCCTACTTTATGACAACTGAAGGGACATCTGCAATTTTCATTTGAGATTTGGAAATACAAAAGATTTAGGTATATAAGTATAGATTCTTATTCTCTACTTTATTTTTAAAAAACGCATTTTAACCTAGTCACTATCACATAAGTATATGCATACAATTTTGTCTAATTACATTTAATATAGGAGAAATGCAAAATGTTTTCTAGTGGCAGTATTTTCACGGAAAATCTTAAATGTTTAAAATCTGTCAGGTAAAAATCCTATTTATCTTGGAAGGAAGTCTGTGTTTTTCAAATATTAGGCTGTTTGTTTGGTAAAATCTTTTTTTATCCACTACCTTAACTAGTACAGTTTATGATATGTTGTTCTGCTCTACTTGATGGAAATTTGATTTGGAAAAAATTTAGTGTTTATTCACTCGATTTTCACAGTATAATAACAAGGTACTTTTATTAGCCTTTTAGAAATGTATACTAAATCTTTTACAATTTTCTCTAAGAGACACAGGCAACAGGTCTAGCATGCTGGCTACAAATACCAAAGTGTGATCTTTGATTTCTTGATTTCTAACTTTTTTGTTTAGAGGGTAACTGAAAAATATTATTTCAGCCTGTAAAACTGTTTCTTTATGCAGTATTTATATCATGTAGTATATTTTTAAAGCTTTCTATTGATGTTGGAATTTTTATTAATAGGTAATCTGTAGCCTAAACAGTTATTAGTGAAAACTTTATTTAAATACTCAAACAGTAAATTTCTGATTTTTGTAGCTTGCTTATATTTCACTGAACAGTTTCTGTAGAAGATACATACCTTTCGGAAAGTTATCATCCCTTTGTATGATAACCAAAGAAACACTTGGTTTATCACTTAAACTTTTAGAGTTATGCTAATTAAAGTATATATAGAAAATATATTCAAATTATTTGAAGTTTTAAGCATATAAGTGGTGTGAACTGATCATGGTGAGAATATTTTTTTCTTGATGAAGGCTGAGAACCTAGATTCTGATCCTATTGATTTTAACTAACTCATAGTAAATTACATATCCTTCTCAACCAGTATGTGCCTCAGGTTCCTTGCCTTTAAATAAATCTAATAATATCTGTCTTACTTGCCTTAGTGAGGAATTGTGAGGATCTGTTAAAAATTGACTGAAATGCTTTTGTTTGATTTTTAATTTAAAGAATTCCTACAAATATAAAGAATAGAAATATCAATACCAGGAATGAATAACACTGTCATTAATGGCTACAGACAAGCAGTCCCTTTAATTATACCTTGTTATGAGTTATTCTGATGTATTGATATTCTTTAACATATGGAAAAGTCAATTCAATGGAGTGGAAATTACTTCTGCCTCTGCTCCACCTCAATCAGGAGTCGGGACACCAGATTTCTGTGACTAACTAGTTTAATGACCTTAAAATAGTCCCTTAGCTTCTCTTAGTCTTCATATCCTGGAACATAGAGAGTAACTGAATATTAATTCATTCATATAAATAATGTAGAAAAATGAATAGATGTCCCCAAGATTGCTTATATTGTTAATATTATAAATTTTATGTGACTCAGCACTGTCAGCTATCATTGCTTGTTGTGTTGCATTTAAAAACTATTGTATCATCCCAAATACTTTTACATTCCTATAATTATCATATATATTTACCCTTATGTTAACTGTAATATCTTTTTCTGCTAATCTATGGAAAAAAATTCTAATCAAGGATGACAATAGTAAAATGAAAAGGGAGATAGTATTAAACATGGCTAATTACAAGCTAGAAGTGGAAGACAGGTTACAAATGAAATTTCCCCTGTATTTGTGATTGATTATAGACACAGGGAAGTGCAATTTTATTACTTTTTCTACTTATTCTCTTTACAATTGCAGATATATCATATGAGAAGGGTTTTACCAGAAAACTTTTTTGACTAGTAGAATTATTATAAGAATTCTGGCTGAATTTATTATTTCCTTTAGTATTCCTTTGTATCTCCCCTACTGGGTAGATACCACCACAATGCTTTGTCTTCCTAAAACTGCCAGCCAAGTTCAGGTTTTAAAATGAATATGGAATGTGTCCATTTATATCTCAGAAGGCCTGTAGAAGAATTCAAAGTGAAAAGAAAAATTCAAGAAACATTAACTTAAGAGTGATAAAAAACCTGATATATTTCTTGGCTCACTCCTTGTTAATCATCCATTTATCCATTCATTCATCAAACATTAATATTTTTCTACTAGCTGCCAGTAGAAAGTTCTAGTGGTACAAAGATGAGTGAAATAGATTCTCTCTCTGGAAGTTCACAGTCTAATATACAAGGCACAGGTTGCATTTTAGGCACTTTTATTTTTAACAAAAAACCTGTTAAACTAAACAAAAAATCACCAAATGGCTAGCTAAGCCACCTTTACACTTTTCTCTGGCATTAAGCAAATATCTTCTATTAATGATTTCCTTCCCCCCCGATCTATTTTACTTTCATTTATGTAATCATAGCAACCAAAACTAAGTTCAAATTATATGGCTGTATAGGCATTTTCTTCTGACAGGAGATTTTATAATATAGTACAACTAATATTTGTGGGAAGTACATACAAGTGCATGAAATAAGAAAATTTGTAGTCTTGTTCATTGGCAGGTAAATTTTGACAAACCGAATTAGAACATGTAGAACTTTATTGTGATCATCTTGTATTTTAGGTACTACTAAATTATTATTTCTTTAGTCTTGTTTCTTTTAATTAAAAAGAAATATACTTTTTCCAAAATTAAAAAGATATACATATAAAAATACTTGTAATCTGTTTTTCTCCATAATTCTAATTGAAAATATTATTTTAGTTGCAATGTTATCTGTAAATAATTGATTAATTTAAAAGTTATGGAGTTAATATGACTTTTGGCCAAATACATTTATAAGAAATACCTATTCATTTAACTGTAGTCACTTAAAATGGATCATGTTTCCAAAGCCATTTAAAAAAAAGTCTCGTATATTTATCTATAAATTAAGAGAAATCTTGAAAACTAATTGTTATATTTTAATATCAATATCAATTATAAATTGCCAATATTCTGTCAATGGCAATAATAAATGATGTAGCAAACATTGAGTAAAGTTATCATTATGTATTTTCTTCATCACAGGAGAGTGACAGTACTTTTCAAAAATGGAATCACAACCAACTTGTTACTATTTGTATACCAGGATATATCTCATGATGCTGTAAGCATCTATTATTACTTTGCGTAGAAATTTTAGATTAAGAATTAGCTATAAGAAAAAAATTAACCATGATCTTCTACAAGAAGATGGAGTTGTTTCTAAATAATGTATAAGTAATGAAAGTGAAATTCTTATTCTATAAAGTTTAATAAGGATAATATTTGATAGATATTACTTTTCCAGATAGATTAGAGTAAAATTAAATAGCTTATCAATTTTCTGAGCATCCATGAGATGACAACATATAACCTCAATTATCAGGAACTCCCTTTATGTCACATTATGTGTCTTATTTAACTAATGTATATTCTCAAAATCAAGTTAAGAAAAATTGCAGCAAACTCCTTTATTTTAATATTTTCACTTCTTAATGCTGCTAGTACTTGGGAGGCTCTTTGATCATAACTTTTGATAAAAAGAAAAAGATGCATCCTGTGAACATATATTTACTATAATTTGACATTGCATTGATTTATTCAAGTTTTAATTTAAACCTATTTTTAGTGAGGTTTATTTTATTTTTTTATTTTCATAGAAATGAGTTCTCACTATGTTGTTTAGGCTAGTCTCAAACTCCTGGACTCAAACAATCCTCTTGCCTTGGCCTTCCAAAGTGCTAGGATTACAGGTGTGAGCCACTGCACCCTGCCTATATATATGTGTGTGTGTGGATATATATATATATCCGGTCTTACTTAAAATCTCACTCTCTCTCTATATATATATACAAACACACACACATATATATAGAGTGAGGTTTTAAGTTAAGACCAGATTGTATTAAGTACAAATGAAAAGTATTTTTTAAATAAATATCTTAATTTTTCATCACTCATAACAGCAAGTATTGTCTTTTTTCTTTTATTTTCCTTCATGTTGGTAACCTTTACTTATTTAAAGAAAGAAACAAAAGCATTAAAAGTTTTATGATCACCTAGAGAATGCTACAAAAATGGGTTCTAGTTACAGTTATGCATTTATAATTTGGGGAATATAAGAAAGCAATAGCTTTTTAATAGTACTTTTATTTGAAATAATTTTTATTTCTTTTTATTTTCACTCTTCTAGAAAACAAGAGTTGGATAGTAGTCATCCTCCAAAGCAATCAGGAAGACCCCCAGACCCTGGACGTCCAGCTCAGCCAGGCCTCAGTAAAAGTAGAACCACAGACACTTTTAGGCCAGAGCAGAAGTTGCCTGGGAGGAGTCCTTCCACTATTAGCTTGAAAGAATCAAAGTCCAGGACTGATTTTAAGGAAGAGCACAAGTCTAGTATGATGCCTGGCTTCCTCTCAGAGGTTAACCCTTTAAGTGCTGTCTCCTCTGTTGTAAATAAATTCAATCCTTTTGATTTGATATCAGACTCTGAGGCATCCCAGGAAGAAACCACCAAGAAACAAAAAACAATTCAGAAGGAACAAGGAAAACCTGAAGGAACCACAAAACCCCCATCACAACAACAGTCACCCAAACCAGATCCAAAGCAGCAAGGACCACTTCAACAGGATGGCTCTCCCAAATCAGTGTCTTCTCAGCAACCAGAAAAAATTAAATCACAACCTCCAAGTACAGGAAAGCCAATTCAGGGTCCTGCCCAGACTCCTCAGATAGACCAGGCAAAATTGCCACTTCAAAGAGATGCAACCAGGCCTCAGACTAAACAGTCAGACATAGTAAGGGGAGAATCAGTTAAACCCTCACCACAAAGCCCATCCAAACCACCTCTTCAGCAAGCAACTCCAGGAAAATCTCCAGCACAGCAGGCTGGACCTGAAAAATCACAGCCTGGTCCTGCAAAGCTCCCAGCTCAGCAACCAGGATTAACAAAGCCACTGGCTCAACAACCAGGGGCAGTGAAGCCCCCATTCCAGACCCCAGGGACAACAAAACCTCCAGCCCAGCCTCTTGGGCCTGCAAAACTTCCTGCTCAGCAGGCTGGGTCAGAAAAGCCTTCATCGGAGCAGGCTGGGCCAAAGTCTGTAACTCAGCCTCCTGGAGTTGGAAAGACTCTAGCTCAGCAGCCGGGGTCAGCAAAGCCCCCAACCCAGCAGCTGGGGACACCTAAACCCCCAGCTCAGCAACCTGCGCCACAGGCTTCAGCTAAGCCTCCTGGGCCTACAAAGACTCCCGCTCAGCAGGCTGGGCCAGTGAAGTCTCTTGCTCAGCAGCCTGGTCCAGGAAAGACTACAGCTCAACAGGTGGGCCCAGGAAAACCTCCCATCCAGCTGCCTGGTCCAACAAAGACCCCACCTCAACAGCCCGGCTCAGCAAAACCCTCAGCTCAACAGCCTAGCCCAGCAAAGCCTTCAGCTCAGCAGTCTACAAAACCAGTAAGCCAAACCGGACCTGGGAAACCTTCACAGCCACCAACAGCTTCTCTGTCTGCAAAACAGACTCCACTGCAAGGCCACTCTAAAACCATCTGTCCTCTTTGCAATACCACTGAACTTCTGTTGCATGTTCCAGAAAAGGCCAATTTTAACACATGTACTGAGTGTCAAACCACTGTCTGTAGCCTCTGTGGTTTTAATCCCAATCCTCATTTAACCGAGGTGAGTGTCTTTATTCACTGAGTCCATGCTCTTCAGCCATATCATCATCTTCTACAAATGGTGTCATATTACTCACACGACAGAATGGCTTTGTCATTCTCTGGCTCTTTCTCTCCTTCCTTTTCTTTTCTGTCAATTGCAAATTAGATTTAAAAAAATTTTTTTTCCAATTAGAAACCTCAAATATCACAGTTTCTGAGAATTTGGCATATAAAGCAGATAGGAAAAATGCTGAAATGAGAAGCACCTACTCATATCACTCTGTGTATTATCCATGGTAGTTATTATTTAGCAGACACGGATATTGCTTTAGCATTTAAATTGATGCTCCCACCTACCAAAAATTTTGGTACTTATATTTGGGATTTGAGTTGGGAAAAAAGTGGGTGAAGTGTTCAAATTCTAAATCCCATTTTAATATAAATTGAGTACAACTTTTGTTTGTTTGTTTTTTAATCTGCATATTCCCTTTTCCTGCCAGGAATTCTGATTTATCCAACGGGGGCATACTTTCCTCATTAGTTGGGAGTCATTAATAACACCAAAGGTTAGTTTACAAAATAAAGTCATTAGAGCCAGTTTAGCAGTTAAGGGTGGCTTCTCAGAAGATCACAGTTTATATTTCCATGGCTTATATCTGGGTAGCCTTATATTTCTAAGTTTATATCTGGGTAATCCTTGTTGACTCATCACATCATAAAGGGGCCAGTGGTGACACAGATGTGTACAAAGTTTGCTCACATGGAAGATAGCAGAGTAATTCTCAGTAGACCAACTGACTTTATCAATATTATCACAGCACTTAAAGGCGCTGAATAAGTAACATTTTAGTAGGTGGAGATTTGGGAGCTTTTAAGGCAGAAGGAACAAAAAAACACAAAACGCTCGAAAACTCAGGAATTCTCTAGAGTTAGGGAATAAAACAGTAAAGTTGGGATATTATAGAGAAAAATGAGGTTTCAGATCTAAGAAAATATAAAATGAAGAAAATTTTTAAAGCAATTTAATTGTCCCTTCTTGAAGAAAAGGCACAGAAATCATTTAGTCCATCTGGAGGACAGCTGTTAGTGGGCTATCTGTGCATTATGTCTGCAAACAGCCTAGGAAGTAACTGACAGCAGGCAACAAAGGATTATGTGATTTAAATATCCCTGAGAGATGAGGCTTCTGTACTTTTGTGATAAAAGAAATCTATGTCATGATAGTAACAACATGATAATTGGTAACTTATGTTAATTTGGATACTTATGATAAAAAGTTATACAGATCTAAAATATGACAATTTCTGTTTTTTTAAAGTGTCTTTTAATTTTTTAGCCAAAAGTCATATTGAGTACTTTAACTTTTTAAATTAACAGTTGATAATTGATAAGATCGCAGTTAGTAAGAATATGCTGCACTTGAGTTATGGATGAAATCAGATTATAAGTAGTTTTTTAATATATATGTGGCCTTTTAAATTTTGGCAAAGATACATTTCTGTTTGTAACATACTATCATGATAGGAAAATGAAGTAATTATTTCAAATGATAGATGATCATTTATAAGATGTGTGAATTTGTCATGGTTTGGAGGCAATATATAAGGTAAAAACATGCAGTGAAAAATTTAAACCATATATATTATTTCTATACCTATTATATGAAAGACATTATTTGAGTACTTAATCTAAGGAATATATTCTTCTCTATGTTTGGTGGGATATGAAGATAACTAAAACATAAAGTTGATTTTACTATGATTAAAATGTATTAGATTAATGATATGTGCACAAGAAAATGTAATATGTGGCCAGATGATATGAACTGTGAGAAATATGAACAGGCATTATGGACTTCAGAGTAGAAAGTGCTTATTTCCAGTAGGTAAGATTAAAGATAACTTTGTGGGGAAAATGGCATTTCAGCTGGGTATATAAAAATGAGTACTATTTTTGCCAGGCACAGTGGCTCACACCTGTCATCCCAGTACTTTGGGAGGCCAAGACAGGAGGATTGCTTGAGCTTAGGAGTTTGAGACCAGCCTGGGTGACATAGCAAGACCTTATCTCTACACAAAAGCAAAGCAAGTTAGCCAGGCATGGTGGTACACACCTGTTGTCTCGGCTACTTGGGAGACAGAGGTGGGAAGATCACTTGAGCCCAGCAGGTTCAAACTGCAGTAAGTCACCATCATGCCACTTCACTCCAGACTAAGCAACAAGAGTGAGAATCCTACTCAAAAAAAAAAAGGATACTATTTCAATAGGTAGAGGACATGAAAGAGGGCAGTGATTAGGGCCAAGACTCGAAGCCACAAAAGTGGTGGGTATATTTAGGGAGTTAGGAGTAAATCTAAATTTACTGAACTTGTGGAAGAGAAATGGCAATGAGGCTGGAGACAGGTTGGAGTCAAATTTTGGTCTTCCACATTTACAGGGTAGCAATGAGTATCCTACTTTATGAAACTTACCTTAATTAATGTAGTTATATATTTGATCATTCATTTGATTAATTCATATCAAATGCCTAGTTATAAAACATCATTGAGTGCTAAGACAGAATCAAATATTCATTAGATATGGAGTCTTCCCTCAACCAGAAATAGGGAAAATAAAAGTCATACATAAAAAAGAACACTTACATCTGTATCTATTTATGAAAAGTAACTTTGTGTAGGGCTTTACATTTCACATGATTTGATCTATTTGTTTTATCAAAATTAAACTTCTAAATAAGTTTATGCATATATATGCTGTTTTCTCTGTTATACTAATGAGGAAACTGGCATTCAGATGCTTATTAGGCTAATTGTTAGGATCACCCAGATGGTAAACTACCAAGCAGAAGCCAAACCATATCTTCTGGTTACAAGTTAGTTTATTCATGGTGAGAAGAGAGATGTAGTGCTGTGGGGTCAAAGGAAGGAACCGTCACTATCAGTAGGAAATATTGGAGCAGTCTTTAGGAAAGCAGAAGTATTCGATTTAGGAAAGTGAATGTGAGAAATGCTAAGAATCAGAACACATGAATGGACATGGAAGGAGTTGGTAATGTGGGGGCAGGTAAGGGGACTTACTAGATAAGTAAAAGAAGGCATTCCCCAATTGACTGGATGAGCTTGGACAAGTCATTTACATTTTCTGTAACAATGGCACCATTTAACACATGAAAAGAATAACATATTCTCCGCCAGACTCATTCTATTAGGAGAACTAACTAAAAATTTGTATGAGATAGCATTTTTAAATATGTGAAGTGTTTTAACATTGTAATATATCGCAGTACAGATCATCTTAGTATTTTAAGGAAATTTAGCCTTTCAAATTTACTTGCACATTGTTTTCTACACAGATACAATATTATAAATTGTTGAGTTCTAAGGTAACAATCGAAAGACACTTGTTCAATAGTATTAATGATATCATTTCATTTTAACTTTCATTTGTTTTCCCTCATAAAGAAAAATGCAATTAAAATTCTAATTTTGAACTCTAGAAAGGCATCTTTCCTTATCCTGTCCACCAAATGCTGATGGTCATTTCCTCAAAATTCTGTATTATCTGGAGAGCAAAGTTGAGAAGTTAGAACTCTGGATAGAAGTTGAACGTGTCCGTTGTAGGAGATGAGATATATGAAATTTGGGGGACAGTCACTGCTTCTATGCAGTTATATGCGTCCATGAAAAATTGAATCTCTCTGCATCGTCCAAAGAAGATTTAGCACTGTGAGTCAAATAGTCCTCAAATATTCAGATTGAGTAAGCAAAGCTTTTGTATGCAGGATAGGACATGTCAGAGGCTGGACATTCTTTGGTACTTCAATACATGAATTTATTGTTTTGCAGATTGATGTTTATATGCAAGGAACTCTGAATTATTACTTTTATAGTAAATGGATAAAATAGAATAGTGGTCTCCTGTCTTTTTGAAAACACTAAGAGAATTTCTCTGATGTTTTTTGGTACCTACACAGCAGAATTATGGTTACTTGCTTGTGACCTTCCTGACTCTTAAATGAGGAAGGATTAGGGAGTTAGCTACACTCAGCACAAGCTTTAGAAAAGGGGATGTATTCCCTTACTCATAAATTCACCAACCTCTCTCCCACACCCTAACCCTGCCACACACAGCACCTTAGACAACCCAAATATCTATGTAAAGAGCATGACCTTTAAATTAATTACCCTCTCTGGAGGCTTTCAGGATGTGTGTTATTCAAATAAAGCCTTAAAAATCCACTGGCTCTAAGCCTACACTTTTGATGCCCCGAAGAGTTTATAGCTGTATCTCTTCTTGCTGACTTATTAATGGAATAAATCTTTACAGCATAGGTCTTCTCTTTGGGTTTTATTTCTGACACATAAACTGAACTTTTGCTTTCTAATTAGTGACGAAAGTATTTTTATTGTTTATGTTGATGTACCTTATACCATTTGGTGTGTAGCCTCAAGCAAGATAGATTTAAACACAGATTTAAAAGCTTATTCCTAATTTTAATAATTCTCCCAACTCATGACATTTTATAATATATGAAAATACTCATCGCTTTTCAGGAATGTTGATAACAAACCAAATGTTAGTGATGAAACTAGATTTAGGTGGGACTTTGTTATTATTTTTCAGTCACAATGGCCCATGCTTTAATTAGTCCCTTGTCTAAAATTAGGTTTTGTGTTTTGTTTTGTTTTGTTTTTAACAAAAACATAGCCACTCTTTAGGAGCTCAAAAAACCAAAACCAAACAAACAGAAAAGTTCTCAATTTGCATATATAGAGACTAGCATATAAACCTCCACTTACTAATAAACAAAACAGAGCAAAAAATGACTGAAATTCTTTACTTGGGTAAAATGGTTTAGCTGGCCACCTCCTTTGGGTAGATAGTCCTGCTGTGTCTTCTATTTCTAGTAAGAGAAACAGGAGGTGGGGTGGGGAGGTAGATTTGTTAAGAAGAGCTGGTAGAAAATAGTAGAGCTGTGCCACATGTCAGGAGGCTGGAACCTGTGGAGAAAGAAAGCCT